TCTGAAACGCATTTCAACTGAAATTTTTCCACAAAATTGAGCCAGGGAGAAGGAAATACCATTTTTCCTAGAATTTTTAAAATTACCCGTAAAATATGATGATTAATGCCGAAATATCAGAAAAATATTTCTGACGTAAATACTCCCGGGTTTAAGGAATGAAGCGTGGAATGTGGTTTTTCCAGCTGAATTTTGTACGAGTGCTGCCATACGTTCCTTCTGGAGGCGCGACATAGAAAATCACCTGGTGGTGGTAAACCGATCCGACACCCAGTGAGAGGCCCTCGACGTACCTCCCGACATACCTCCGACGTGCCCCCAACGTGCCCCAGTCGTGATCATGCGGTCAGACCTGTTTTAAATGTTCCTTTGAAGTTTCCAGAATATTCAAATTCCTCTCATCTACATTATCTCAAAGTCATCCGATCCATCTTCTGATTCATCTCTCCAATCTACCATAACACCAACGAAAACAATAACAGATGATGACGTAGATAATCATTAAATTACGTGAGAATAATAACATTAATCAATTTCGGTGATAAGTGCGCGCAGGAAAAATAATCTTTATTTTTTCGGTGTAATTATTATTTTTTTATATATATATTTATATACATTTTTATTCCTCGGGATAAATATTAAATTATAAAATTACGAGTACTTGAAATTGTTGGGTTTATCGAAAACTTATGGATAACAATATTGATATAATATAATGATAATCATGATATATTTATATAAATGAATGCCGGGGTAAAACGGACACAATGAAAATGGTTTAAGCGATCATAAATAGATTAATTAAATATTTAGAATCGGCTAGTGTGTCTGAACGGTATGGCCATTACCACTTTTCGTTTCGTCATTTTATTCCGTTCTGTTTTTACTTGTGTTGTGGACTTTATCCTTCTCTGGTAGAGACAGCTCGTTCAATGTAGGAGAGTCTACTTTCCATCTCTTCGGCATGCTAATGTATACACACAGTCGAAGAAAACAAGATTTTCAACTCGGCAAAAGTTTCCACTATGGAGTCATATTTTTTGGGTGATGGGTGGGACGATATATCGTCGGGTTTTTTTTTGTCTCTTGCTTTTTGTGGGGGACTGGTTTTGCGTAGGTGAAACTTCAGACATTTTAGTGGAAGAAAATATATTTTAAAATTGTTTAGGGGCTCGGGATAATACGGTGATGGAATTGAATCGGTTTAGTTTACTTGGAGATCTTTTTTTATCGAAAAAATTCAGGTGAAGTCCTGGATGGACATTTTTCCGCTTCGCTGAAGTACTTCAACCTTTTTTTTTAATTGAACTTATTTCCGATACTTGCAGCTGTAGGTTCACACTTTCACGTAATAGTTCTGGTCTTCATTTCAAACGAGTAACAAATCCTAGAAAGTTGGAAATCCAACAAGTAGTCGTTTTACGCTTAAAAAAATGTTTACCAAATCCCTAAAAATTTCCTTTTTTCCCCGAGTTAATTTTCCTATTCACCGAATTTTCTCTTGGATGTAGAAAATAATTATCGCGTGTCTGCAAATCCCTGAACATTCTCATTGAAAAAAAAAACTCGTTTTAACTGAGCAACGAGTAGGTGTGTACAATTAGAAACAAGAATAAAATTCCATTGAAAAAATTGATCGCTTGAAAAATATAACACCGAGCCTAGAGGATAAAAAAAAACCAGTGGAAGAATCACAAGTAGATATCCTTGTTCACAATAAATTAGCATTCAAACAATATTTGTCGCTCGTGATCAACTGCATAAGTCGAGAATTCAAATGGTAATTATTGTTATCGCGCTATTCACTGCGCAAATAATCTCGTTTATTGTGCTGCTAATACACCGACAAAAAAAAATACAATCATTGATCAACATAACGTAACGATTATGAATCTATAGTTTCCACTCATTTTCGAATTATTCGGGGGGCCAAATTGTCCCGGCAATTGGTTTATTCGGCTGAAAGCAATTTCATTTGCTCTAATGAGCTTCTATTCGTTAACGACCGGCCTCTGCAGTCGATACCATTACTATTGTTAGTCCTACCCTTTTAGGAAAAAGGACATTACAGGAAAATGGAGAAGGTACTAATGGCGTTTCTTCTAATGATTTT